GCTGATTTTTATTTCTCCTTTTCTTTATATTTACCGGAAATATAAACACCATATTTAGAACCGTAAATATAGTATTCAACCCATTTTCATTTATTTAAATGGGTTTAATTACTAACAACCCACTATCTTTACTCTAATTTACTACCGATAATGATGTTCCCTTTTATCATCGCTCTCTCTCTCTAATCAATCGGTTAGCTTAATGATAATCTTCGTCGACATTTGCAACTGATATGTTAAATAGATAAACTATTAGGCTACTGTGACAAATTAAACTATATATCCATGTTAGATAATGTGTACAAAGGTATTTTAAAAAGAGGGGAGGGCAATAAAAAAAGAAAATGGACGGTCTCTGTTGGTATATCGTGGGAACTTTAGCGACTATTACAAGCAGCCCCCTCATTGCCTCCACTTAACCCAACTCAATTTTGGCGACTTTTCTTTGGTCAAGAGCTGATCGTACAATGAAATGAATCACTCTAACAAAATTATTTCATATTATGGTTCGTTGAATACTTACGCAGAATGCCAAATTAAGTTCAATTTGTTGGATATCACTATGGATTTCATATTTAGTTTATACATATATAAAAAAGGACTTTTATTTAGTTTGATATTCCTTTATTGTTTGGATACATAACTGCATATTATTAAATAGCAGCATCAAGGAAGACAGAAGCAAAGGACCTTTGGTTGTAACAATCAAGGTTACTTCCAGGATTAACTCCAAATATGTTACAATACCTCTGATAAAACCCTATCCGATCCGCAACTCTAGAGTCTTGGCCATGACCACACTCCAATCCACCGTTAATAATATTCGTAATCACACCATAACCCGGTAATCTCCCGGCAGCACGGTCGGCGTCTGAGGGCTGCCATTGACCGGTGATCACGGCGTGGCACGACGGTTTAGGAGACTGAGGAGTCATCCAGAACCAAATCGCGGCTTTGAAAGCGATCACTGCGTCGTTGGAGACAAGGTCAGGGTTGTTCAGTAAATCAGCTCCTATGGCTCGACCGCACTGTCCGTAGTTGTAGTTCCACGTCAGCTGCATCGGTCCTCTTCCGTAGTAACGTTTGCCAGGTGCGCATGGCCACGTGGCGCTCGGTGAACAGTAGTCTGAGGAAGGGTTTTGTTCTTGCTTGAAACAGTAACCCCATGAGAATGGTCCGTCCGGTGCTGTAGCCCACCCACCTGCACACATGTAATGACCGTCCATTTCGGTTAATGTATATACTATATAGTCACAACTTTACATTATTCAATAAAACATGTAACAATTTAATTAATCAAGTGTGTATTCTTGAAACGTAATCACGAATACATTTTTCAAACAAACTATATATATATATTATAAGTTTCTCTTTTTGTTAATTGTAACACGGTAAAAGATTTATTTGCTAATCATAAACATCCAAAATGCAAATGAAATGACGTTTGTTTTTACACTTTTTTCAAAAATATTCTATGGAAAATTGGATATATGTTTTATATTTTCAAAATGTTAATTTGGTGTTAGTTGACTTTTCATGTGCGATTACGTTTGAAATATAATACTAATAATTCGTATACCGGTGGTTTCGTGGGAAGTTTGGCCAAAGAAGGCGGCAATCTCCTTCTTCCTCGCGGCGGTGTCTCCGGTGGTACCGAAGCCAGAGAAAGACTTAGCGGCGGTGATAAAGGCATCATAAGTATAGAAACCTCTAGCAGGACAAGCACCGTCGTTCCTATGCTTAAGCATATCATCGAACTGAGAACTTGTAATGATGCCTGAAAGATCACCAGTAGGAGGAGTACCGCCGGGAGTGCACTGGCTTTGACAACCAGGCTGCTTACAGTAAGGTTCGGTGTCGCCGCACCAACCGAACTCGCTGCAACATAGACCGCCGGGGCAGAGAGCTCCTCCGGCTTGACGACCACATTGTTCGCCGGAGGAAAATGTTAAGAGAAAGGAGAATATGAGAAAGAGAAGAAGATGAGTCTTCATTTTTCTCTGATTTTTTCTTTATGGGGTTTGGTAGGCAAGTTGGGGTATATATAGTATGGAGGATACATTAATCATTTTTTGTGTGTACATACAAGATACATATTAGTAAATGAATGTTAATCATCACCTCAAATTTTCTAATTTCCCGTAGTTAAATATTATGTGGAGTATGTCTATGTGTAACAAACAAGATTTGTTGTTTGGAGTTTTTTGTACATGTACATCAGAAGCTGTGCTAAAATTGGTAGAAGCTTACCAATTTTAGTAGACCAAAAGCATAACAATTTTTTTTTTTTTAAAGCATAACAATTAAGTACAGTCCATTTTAGTTTTTCTTTTTAAAAAGGGAATTTTCTTATAGACTACACACTCTACGGCCTGATGTCCATCACAAGAGTTGCAAGGATAGCCAAGAATGTATATATAACGTAATGGCAAGGAAATAAACGTGTATTTTTATTTTTATTTTGGGTCAGAGACGTGAGTAAATATTTAATTATGAATGTTGACAAACAACAAAAGTGAATATAATTATGAATATGAGGCGGCTGGTTCATGATCGACTTTTTCAAAAAGAAAATTGAGATTTTTCAGAATTAATTACTAAAGGTAACGTATAGCATTAACCATTTAATAATGTTATAGTGACTCAAGACCAAATCATAGAAATATTTATTCATGGCATAGAAAATTTCCAACCACTCACGGAGACTCTCTCTCTATTCTATAATGTTTTATCCAATGTACGTGACGTGTTAACAAATTGTGAAAAACCAAAATTATGAAAAAACCTGCGTGCTCTCTTTACTAAATTAAAATATTATACACGATAATCAAATTGATTGGGTCATTTCCATCACTGTGGGCTGCGTTGCAATCTCTTTCACGGTAAATAATATATGTATACGTACTATATAGGCATTACAATAGATCTTAATTATTTGACTTTCATAACAACGATAGACCAAATATTGGCAATTGCTTCTGGTCACACGGCTCACTATTTTTTCTTTTTTTATAAACCGTGGAGTTCCGAACTTTTGGCTCATAATCTCTTCGATATCCGGAGACAGTTTTTGGATATTCCGATTTAAAGAATAACCATCCGTACCAAAAAAGATTTAAATCCAGAACACAAGAGAACCAATCCCTTTGTATTACTACTAGACCACCACACATTTGGTTCACACGGCTCACTATTGATACTATGATAATATCATACGCAAATGAATTTAGTAAGAACACATTTTGGGCAACAATATAATCAATCTTTCTTCCTCGTTCCTTTAAGCCAACAGTTAATCTCCATATGTTGTTTTTCATGCACATGCAACTGCAACTTGAACAAATGAACCACTTAGTTAAATTGTAATATAAACTATATCAGTATATCACTGGGTAATATTCTTTTTGATTTCTTGTTCATCACTTCATCATGAAAACCTTTTGAATTCTAAACAAAAAACAATACAGGTCGGGTTCAAATGATAGTCACTAATATAATTAATGTAATAAATATGAGTGAAACATAGTTTAGTGGCTTAATTAAAGAAATTAGAGAAAAAGATCAATTTCTCCAGTGGTTCTACAAAATAAGTGAATGAGTTGAGTTAAAATTTGACCAAAAAAAGTGAATGAGTAGAATTATTCAAGAATTTTAATTTTCTTTTGTGGTGGAGTTGGTTTAGTTTTGGTCCGGTTATTCGGGGATTTTTGATTTCATAATTCGATACGATTTTGATGTTTTTTTAATTTTCATTCTTCCGGTTGAAGTCGGTTCTTGCCTTCTCTATTTATTTATAAAGATAATAAAAAAAAAAAAAGACAAAGCAATCAGTAAAATCTGTGTGAAAGTCGAAACGGTAGAGAATGGGAGACGCGAAGAAGACGGAGATGGAGATGGAGACGGTAGAGAAGAAGGAAGCATCAGGATCCGTTGGTTTCAGAGAACTACGTGACGATCTCTTCAATGAAGCAGCAAATCTCGTCTCCGAAGATCCCTCCATACGAATCGCGATCTTCGTCACTCCTCCTTCCACCGAATCGGACGGATCTACACATTCCTTCGCTCATCCTTCTGTCGAAAGCGTTGTTGAAACATTCCTCGAGGATAAGTGTCCTGTTCCGGTACCA